CCCACAGAGAATGCTCTGTCCCCCCTAAGTCTCCGCCTAGCCCTCGGTGTCTCCAAGAGCAGCTGATCAGCTGATCTGAGGCACCGAGAGGGGCTATAGGGATGCAGCAATTCTGTAAGATAAAGGGGGGCCAAACAATTTAAAGACTTAAAAACAAATAAAAGAATCTTAAAATGAATTCTAAAACACACGGGCAGCCAACAGTCTCCAAACACGTTTGTCTTTGCCAGTCAGCAAAGCAACATGAACAATACTCTTGCTTTTTTGGGTAGGGCAGCTCAGTATGTTTGTTGTCTCTCTCCGTCTTTGTATATCTCCTTGTCCTTCTTCATTTTTCTCTGTTAATCTTTAACCCTGCAGTTTGTTAGCACTGTCTGCTTCTGCCTTTATTTCCTTGCAGTGTTTCATCTGCCTCTCTTGGCCTTGTCTCTCTATTTCTTGATGATGAATTACAGGACTGTGCTCAATCATAAAGAATGCACTCCCTAAATATCACTTCCTCTGCTGTCCTATGTAATAAAAGTATACTGCTGTCAACCTGAAGAACATCCTTATTGGTGCAACAGTAAAGGACAATAAAGCTAGGAGCTGTCTTTAAAAAGAATCCACAGTAGAAGCAGACAGGGTTTGTCAGTACAGTATATGGAAGTGCTGCTACACACGTCTTTACTGAAGCTGCACTCAAAACAAATGACAGTTACAAAGGCAAACTGAACTTTTAGAGTCTCTCGAAAATCTCTGGCTAAAAAAAACAAACGTTAATTGCATACGAACAAACTGTAAGGTTGCTTTTGGTCTACTGTCTCACTTGTCCAAGCCACTGACCGTATACTTGATGGACAGTCGAACAGCTCTCAGAAGTGAAGCCACAATGAATCGACCGCCCCCTGGTGGCTAGTTGCAGTACAGGTCATAAATCTCACGTCCTCCATGTTAGTGAATGGGACATGACCCAAACTAAACACTCAAAGTACAAAAAAAATAAATATCTCGCAGAGGTAATTTCTGTCATATTTGGTAGATATTACCATGCTGATTTTTGTACAAGTTGTCATTTTTCTGGTTGGTTTGCTTTTAATAAGTTATTTGATTAAATAATAAGTGAGTGTGAAAAGTGCGATTTGACAGCTTTGACTAGTGGTCTGATGTGTCACTCACTTCTGGTTGCTACTGTGCAGAATCCATTTGTATATACAGCCAGTGGTCCAAACTGTGGTTTTCTTTAATATACTTCAGTTCTCTGTCCAATCAGGGCGCTCTCCTGGTGCTGTCAACATTGTCCAGTCCAACCTCCATGCGCAGCCCAAAGGAAAAGCAGTTCTACATGCTGATGTTGGTTTTCTGCTTGGTCTGCCCCAATGTCCTGGTGTTTATTAAATCACTGTGGAGGTGTGCCTTCAAGAGCTTTGTACAACCCAACATGAAGACCATGTCATTTGTACGTTTGCCTATTTATTTATTTATTATCTAACCTGCTTTGCATGATAATTACAACAAATACACTGGTGTAAAAATAAACATAACTGCTTATTCACAACCTTACATTGCTCCTATTTGTTAGCATAGGGTAGTTCATATAATAGTCAAAGCCCTGACCTATGCTTTATAACTTTTAAATAATTTTACTAAAGAGGTTATTATCAAATTATTTTAATTTTATATTACAAATGCATGTGCATTTTGCAGATCTTGGCCAGTTCATATTTTCATGTTTCTAGACACACAGTGAAATCCATCCTTGCTTAAATCTTCAAAATTACTGCTCACAGAAAACACACCAGTACTTTAATTCCACTGTCTGAATCAAGTACAGACAACATTTCTTGACTATTAGGCCAATTATTGGACAAAGGTGCACCTATAAAACCGTAACAATGTTAGTGTGTTTTTTTAAAATAAGTCATTGTTTCTGAGTCCCACGCACATAAGATTTCAAATCATTTTAACTGTTTGAACTCCACTGCAAGAAAAAGAACCAACCAATTTTCACCCATCTATATATATGTGAACATAATGGTGCTTGTGTCGTTCCAGATTTGTACCATTGAGTGCCTGGTATCTCTTGGTACTTCAATACTGGTGCTAGTTGTTATGCCTCAGTTCGACGTGTTGACTAATCTCTTCATCAGCGGAGGAGTCTGCATTGTGTCTGCAATCCTGCAGATTGTTTTCAGACTACAGAGAGAAATGTGGAAAATTGTGTTCCCAATATGCTCCCTCATTCTCACACTTGCTGGTAACTCTCTTTAATTATTAAGTTAATCAATTTGCTGTCACTCTGAAAGAGAGACTTTGACTTGCCTGGCTATCTCTGGCTTGTGTTAACCATGACAATAGCATTCTAATCAAGGACACAATCAAAAACCAGATCTCCATGATCAGTTCTACCTCCAGAGACTCATGATGGTGTTGTTGAGTCCCAGTATCAAACAAGAAAATTTCATTCTGAATGTTCTTTACTCTGAACTCAACAAATCACTTTTCAAAAACAACAAAAAAAAATCTATCTTTGCAAGTCTCTGGTAGCTCATATGTCAAATTTAATAAACATGGCGACATCTTTCTGTATCTAAAGGGACTATAGAGGTGAAGGAGAAAAAGAAAGACAACAATTTGTTACCCCCTGCCTCCTGTGCAATAATAGATACTGCAGCATCTATGTCATATTTATGTTTTCTTTTTCTCCCACTTGATTTGAACACAGTCCAGTTCTAATTTGTCTTCAAGTTTTGACTGAACTGTGCCATCTCTTTAATTATCAGTCACATCACTTTCTTTTCATTATTCAGTTGTATTTTTCCATGTAAGGTCTCATTCAGGAAATCTGCCACTAGTTATAACTGACTCCAATGAATGAGTTAAGATTTAAACTAGCATAACAACACTGACAGGTTCTGATTTGAGCCTTCAAGTACAAGTTGCATGTAGGTGGAGCGAAATGGCTCATTGTTTATCAAGGATATTTGAATCCTGACAAACCTTTAGCTACAACTTGAATGAAGACTAATGGGAGAGTTATGTCATTTAATTATATACCTATGCACACACAGTGTAAATTTTAGTGTTGTCAATCGATTTCAAAAATGCAGAGTTAATCACAGTCATAGGATGTGATTAATCACAATTTTAAAATCTTAGGACATACTTGTATTATAAGTGTGCAGTGTTGGAATAAAGAAATGCATGACAAAATGGTTTTAACATCTCAAATATTAACATTTACCAAATGTTAAATCAAAATCTCTTAATTTGCTAAGTACAAAAGTCTCAAGGAGTGCTTGGCGTTGCCCAAAACACCCATATGAACTGCACACATAAAAACACGTACAAAAAGAACTGTTATAAAGTCAGCTACAAAGCCACAAACAGCCTGCCTGTAAAATGCTTCCATACTATGCAATGCATAGTAACATCAACTCAAATGCATGCAGTAATGAGTAGTCCTACTTTACAAACTGAATTCCATAGTCTTTGAAGAGACAAAGTCAACCAGTCATAGAGTCTACTGTTCCAAATGTCCATCTAGAAGCTTTTTATAACATACAGCACACCAGGTAATGTGTCATCAGTCATCGTATTATCAGCGTTTGACGTGCCCTTATCACACACAGCTAGGCTGCAATTATGGGGAAAAGCTGGGGTACAGCTTGGTCATATGATTAATTTTACATTGCACTACCTGCAGTAATTTTTACAGTGCCTTGCGAAAGTATTCGGCCCCCTTGAACTTTGCGACCTTTTGCCACATTTCAGGCTTCAAACATAAAGATATAAAACTGTAATTTTTTGTGAAGAATCAACAACAAGTGGGACACAATCATGAAGTGGAACGAAATTTATTGGATATTTCAAACTTTTTTAACAAATAAAAAACTGAATAATTGGGCGTGCAAAATTATTCAGCCCCTTTACTTTCAGTGCAGCAAACTCTCTCCAGAAGTTCAGTGAGGATCTCTGAATGATCCAATGTTGACCTAAATGACTAATGATGATAAATAGAATCCACCTGTGTGTAATCAAGTCTCCGTATAAATGCACCTGCACTGTGATAGTCTCAGAGGTCTGTTTAAAGCGCAGAGAGCATCATGAAGAACAAGGAACACACCAGGCAGGTCCGAGATACTGTTGTGGAGAAGTTTAAAGCCGGATTTGGATACAAAAAGATTTCCCAAGCTTTAAACATCCCAAGGAGCACTGTGCAAGCGATAATATTGAAATGGAAGGAGTATCAGACCACTGCAAATCTACCAAGACCTGGCCGTCCCTCTAAACTTTCAGCTCATACAAGGAGAAGACTGATCAGAGATGCAGCCAAGAGGCCCATGATCACTCTGGATGAACTGCAGAGATCTACAGCTGAGGTGGGAGACTCTGTCCATAGGACAACAATCAGTCGTATACTGCACAAATCTGGCCTTTATGGAAGAGTGGCAAGAAGAAAGCCATTTCTTAAAGATATCCATAAAAAGTGTCGTTTAAAGTTTGCCACAAGCCACCTGGGAGACGCACCAAACATGTGGAAGAAGGTGCTCTGGTCAGATGAAACCAAAATCGAACTTTTTGGCAACAATGCAAAATGTTATGTTTGGCGTAAAAGCAACACAGCTCATCACCCTGAACACACCATCCCCACTGTCAAACATGGTGGTGGCAGCATCCTGGTTTGGGCCTGCTTTTCTTCAGCAGGGACAGGGAAGGTGGTTAAAATTGATGGGAAGATGGATGGAGCCAAATACAGGACCATTCTGGAAGGAAACCTGATGGAGTCTGCAAAAGACCTGAGACTGGGACGGAGATTTGTCTTCCAACAAGACAATGATCCAAAACATAAAGCAAAATCTACATTGGAATGGTTCACAAATAAACATATCCAGGTGTTAGAATGGCCAAGTCAAAGTCCAGACCTGAATCCAATCGAGAATCTGTGGGAAGAACTGAAAACTGCTGTTCACAAACGCTCTCTATCCAACCTCACTGAGCTCGAGCTGTTTTGCAAGGCGGAATGGGCAAAAATTTCAGTCTCTTGATGTGCAAAACTGATAGAGACATACCCCAAGTGACTTACAGCTGTAATCGCAGCAAAAGGTGGCGCTACAAAGTATTAACTTAAGGGGGCTGAATAATTTTGCACGGCCAATTTTTCAGTTTTTTATTTGTTAAAAACGTTTGAAATATCCAATAAATTTCGTTCCACTTCATGATTGTGTCCCACTTGTTGTTGATTCTTCACAAAAAATTACAGTTTTATATCTTTATGTTTGAAGCCTGAAATGTGGCAAAAGGTCGCAAAGTTCAAGGGGGCCGAATACTTTTGCAAGGCACTGTATACACAGTATATATAAATACTTTCCCCTGGCTGTAACATTGTGCAGGGCCCTGAGACCAGAGACTGAAGTTAAGAACTCATCACCAGTTTTTCTAGATTTTCTGTGTTAAACCAGACCACAGTTGTTCCCCTAACCTCAGCCTGTGCTACCTGTGCCTAAACATAACCATGAAAAACCTTAATAATGCTGTAATCACTAAAATTGTTATGGTACACTGGTCTATCAAAATGCTTTCAAAACAAAAAGAACTGAAAACTAAAATGATATCTAAAAATGTTTGAGTCTGGTTTATAAAGTATTGAACTAGCAGTTTATAAATTTAGCTTTAAAATTACCAAACCTTGTCAAATAGAAGGAAAGATCTCTGACCAAAAATTGTAACAACACTTGGTGGATTTAATGACTAAGCTATGTGCTTTTTGCTTCTCAGGTGGACCATTAGGCCGGCATTGTGCCTCAGGCAGTACAAGCCACACATTATTGTTTAACTAAGGTGCTTATAACTCAGCTCAAGACATCCTTGCTGTATGCATCAGCCCAAATTCTCCCAAAGTCACAAGGTGTCATTACCTTCATTTGTCAGTCACTTTTTTGCATGTCAGCATAAAACATACAGCGGGATAAACGGCTCAGCTCTTTTAAAGGTCATACTTGAAGTCGGAACCTTAAAATCCATAAAAAATTGTGCATTTCAGTTCAGAAGCAGAAAACCTTTTTAGAACTGCAAACCAGTGCTTTGAGATCAGACAGCTTGGCAGAAAACAAATGAAACGCTGTCAGTGATACATTAAGCACTGACATTTTTGTGACTTGCCAGATTATGTTAAAAACATTTCCAACATTTGATCAACATGTTTCTGCTTTTGCAAATGAGTTCTATATGAATGTAATTTCTAGGAGACTGGATCAATGATTAAACTACATTTTTTAAGTCAACAACTACTTGAGTGATTAGCTTGCATGTGAAATCACTGACATGACAGAGAAACAACTACTAACTAACTGCTTCACTAATAGGTTACTGCCTCCTGGGACTTGATTATTATGTTCGTATATCAACATATGTGGATAACCAGAGTACCGACTGCTATATCTACATTGGAATTGGAATTTTCGCTTCACTACTCGTTTCCCTTTGCTGGTGGGAAAACCCACTGCAAGCTACTAACCGCATGCAGGTATAATATTTTTCTTTATGTTCTTATTGTTCTGTCTTCTGCATCAACCGCTTCACCAGAAAACTACTTTTTGGAATCAGCTACCAAACTGGAATTTGTTCCATCTATTCATTCCTTTGAAGACTCAAAAGCAATAATAATAATAAATGTAAAACATTTTCTCCCCTGACCCCTCAGCTTAAAAAACCTTTGTTTCACCTTTGTTATTTTTTGTAGTTGTCTTGCCATTGTGGCCAGCTGTGCCTGATACCGTACATCAGGCCTGTATATTTGCAGTGAGCTAACATGGTGACTTGATGTGATAAGTGTCTCTTTTTCCATCTCTTTGTGTTTCCTTGCAGGATACATTGTCAGAACTGGATGGTTTCAGGGACTTCGTGTTTGTCATCAGTAGTATTCTGAGAATAATCGTGATAGGTATTTGTCTACCAATCATGTCTGTATCAACACAACATTCAAGAAGCCATGTTGACAAAATTACACTTGCTCTTAAAATGCAATATCAACAGCCAACATTGTTTTGTTTTTTTTGTTTGTTTTTTGCTAAGCTTATAATGTAAAAATGGAGAACAAACAACTTCTGTGATATCAGAGATGTGGATGAATTGTGGAGGATGAACTCTCAGCTGTTGTTTTCAGTTTTGTAATGCTCTGCTTTTTCTTCAGCAACATAACAGCAGCAATTTATTCCACTCCATACAACCTCTGTACCATTTCAAATCAGCACTTGATTTCATTTTAGCCTATTTCAACAGTCTTTTTTTAATACTGTATTGTTTAAAATATATTTTGTTACTTATATTGTACATTGTGTCTTTTCCATCAGTGATACATTTCATTCTGTTGTAGGAGGAGTATACTTGATATACCATGTGCTTATCGAGAAGTCTATTGTCTGGTCAGACTTTAACCTGCAGAATGCTGACTGGGAATTACTGCAAGTAGGACTGGTGCTGTTTTTCTTACAGGTAGGAAGAAGAAAGACACAAACACAGACAGTTGGAGACAAACATACGTATATATATATATATATACAGTATATATATATATACATATACTGTATACAGTATACAGTATTTGACACACTGCCGCTTTTTCAAGTTTTTCCACT